TTGATTTCATATGATCAAAAAAAGTAATTTCATGTGATCATGTATAGTCATGGGACATTTTTCAAAGGTAAGAAATCAACATTGGCACAATACTATGAAATCTATTTGGATTTTATCTTTTTTTATGAATGTTCTTTTTTCATCCCAAGATCTTAATAGCATTTAGCCAATTTACTTTTTAACTTTTCTATCTTCAAACTCGTGTGTGTGTGTGTGTGTGTGTGTGTGTGTGTGTGTGTGTTGCCAGGGATCTAACCCAGGGGGTCAAACATGTTAGGCAATGTGTCTACACTGAGCTAGCTGTTCCTCCAGCTATAGATACTTTGCCTTTTAAATTTAGCATTTCATCTTTTTCTGTGAAAGTCTGGGAAGAAGGAGCTAGAAACACAACATATACTGATCTATCTCAGAGGCAATTGTAGGTATTGGAGTTTTGAGGTTCTTTGTGAATGTTAGTTTACTTAATCATTTTTCATCTTTCAGGCAAAAGTACTTGAGGGATGACTATTCCAAATGTCATCTAAGTAGAAATCCTCATGAGAGATGAATAGTGTCATACTTGACTAGATTCTCAAAAACAGCTTCTACCCTATCAACCATTCTACTTGAATTTATAGCAACAAAGATGTTTCTACCACTCTGGACCAAAGTTGTTTACTTTTATCTGTGTTCCTTAAAAGTGTAAATCTTCACCTTAGTTCATCAGGTAAAGTTCCTTGGTGAGCTACTGCCAAGCTGGTATCAGTACAAGATGTGAAACAGGACCAATGTGGATGTAAGTAAGACATGGACCATGTCTAAGATATGATGTTGAAGAAAACTAGGGCATTCTCCTGGGAACTCAGTGCCTACAGCTGTGTCTGGAGGTGATTGGCGGGTAGGAAGGCTTGAGAGGAGGAAGAAGGAAACATCAGTGAGGAGACACATTTCTGTCAGATAGAATGAAAAAAGGCAAGTTTTACTTTTGTAAAAATACTTTTTCCTACAGTTAATCAGTGCAGAATGGAAAGTAGTGTACCATAAAATCCATGAGGGGCTGAGGGTGCAACTCTGCAGTAAAGCCCCTGTTTATCAGGCACAAGACCACAGGATCAATTACCTGTACTGCACACTCACACAAAGCCATGAATGCTGTTGGTATTCAGCAAATATATGTTAATAAAGTCATATCGGCTCTGATAGTACTCTAAACAACTCATTTCCACTAGTGAAGTAGATGCTTCCTAGGGCACTGAGGTCCCTTTTCATAGCCCTACCAGCCTCCCCCTCCTAAGGACTGCTGAACTTCCTGTGATTTGGCCAGAAGATTGATAAGCAGCACTGCAAGGAACCTCCCTTATATTATTCCATAAGCAGGAATAATATGCATGTTTATCACTACTTTGGCCAAAGTAGTGATAAACATGCATATTATTCCTGCTTATGTAAACCCAGATGATTTGCCAAGTTTTATTTTGTTTTTTTGGCGGAACCGGGGATTGAACTCAGGCCCTTGTGTTTGCTAGGGAAGCACTTA